TCGAGGTAAATAATTCTAAATAAACAACAATTGTTTAAGAGTATTTGACAATGATAACAATTATCTATTGAATAGTAGAAATTCCGCCCTTCAATTTCAATTTTGTTAGAATCGAATCTGACGATTCCACGCCGAATTACATTTCGAACTCACAAAAATTGTTTATAATAAAACAATTGTTTAAGAGTATCTAACAATGATAACAAGTATCTATTGGTCAGTAGAAATTCCGCCCTTCAATTTGAATTTTATTAGAATCGAATCTGATGATTCTACACCGAGTTATGAAACTTCAAAGTTTCCTATGTAATAGATAATTATGAATGAATGACAGATCCACGACCTACATTAGCACCCGGAAGTCCGTGCGCGTGACGTAGTATTGTAGTAAAAATCGTAAACAAGTAGTATTTCTTAGAAGAAAATGACAACAATCACCTGTACATAGTTTGTCTTTAATATTTTACATGTTCCATTCGAACGATTTTTATGAAATTTTGTATACATGGGTTTTTGGGATCGCTGATTCTAAATGTGAACTCAGCATTTATAAATTCAAAATGGCGGATCCTGTATAGCGATCCGAAATGCGAAAAATGATTCGATTTCAATGAATCTTGGTATATAGGGGTTTTGGAGGTCGCTGATTCTAAATCTGAACTCAAAATTTATGAATTCAAAATGGCAGATCCAGTATGGCAGACCAAAATATGGACAGTACTATAAAATATAATAGATACATATTTTTGTTAAAAAGGTGATCAACGATTTCTTGTTCTGTATGATTTAATATAATCCATGTATGTACGTATGTATGTATGTAAAGTGAGAACATTGTCTCAAACGTTGTGTTTATAGATTTTGCCTGTTTCTGTTTCTTTTTGTATTTTAACCGAACTTGGCCGAGTGCTCACCTTTCTCATTAGTTTACCTGAGTCTGTCTGTATAGCTTCAGAGAATCGAACGCACGTTGTTTCTATAGCAACGTTTTGAATATATCGCCTACATTGCGTATTGTATAATTCGCTGTATAAATAAACTCTGTTTCATAATTTTAAATAAAAAATATGTATTTCGAAATATTTAGCAGAAAAATGCTAAATATAAAATGACCCTATTAATGAATTCTATCTCGTTCAATCTAAAAGTTTGTGTAAGATAAACGTTTGAAGGAATCCTTTTTAAAGTAATCGAATTCATCGCGATCGTTATCCTTGTTTTCCACGACGGCTTCGTTATTCTCCGATGCCGAATAAGGAGTTTCAGCTCTTCGCTAGCAAAATCGAATTTCACGTTCATCTCGTGAGTGTGTCGTGTGCTAAAGTTCTGCAGAGTCGCTTGGTGGTGTCGCCTTTATTCCCGATATTAGACAAGATCCAATTTACCGCGAGTTTGGAAGGTGTGCTAACTATCAATGTAGTACAATATTGACCCAATTGTATCGGTGAAAGCAACCAACCTACTGTAAATTCGATGGATCCTGTTATTTGCTGCCGGAAACGTTACTCGGAAATTCTAAATTATTAACAAGAAAACATGTCGCTATAAAGTAATAGCTTAAGAGGAGCCGACCGTCGCCAGCCGAAATATATGCTCTTAGCGATCAAGCTTTATATACTTCCAGCAACGTATCTTCCTAGAATCATTTCTTGAAGAAAACTAACGATAATACTATGCAAAGTAGGCAGAATATACTGCTGACACAGCACGAGAAGTCTCCCTTCGAGACGTTTGCTGATAAACGAAAAATTGTAGTTTATTTTAAAACATAATATTGGGTATTCGAAAAAGTTCGTGACGTTTCTTAATTACTTGCACGATTTCATCGCATCGTTCTGTAATTGGTCGACCACAGCGTAATGCATCTTTAACATCAAAATTTTGTAGAGCATTTTGGGTGTAAATCGAACAATAAAACGCCACGAACATTTCGAATACCAATTAGATAAAATTCGTAGTCGGAAAAGAACCACTGTCGTTACGATATGATATAAAACAAATCAATTGGAAATTTACCTTCAAAAAATATTTTAACACTAGACTTACGGTGCGCAGTCAAAATGATCCATTCCAAATTTCACAAGATTTTAGAGATACCGTTTACATCTTTTGCCACCCACTTATGCTCCCTTTTTTTTTTATAAGAAAACTAGCATATATTCGAATTCGATTTTGTTCAAGTCTCCTAATTGAGCCGTTCATTGCACAAATCGAATCCTATGAAATAAAAAGTTGAAAAATGCAATGGAAGGGCCTCTGAAATAAATTATTTATTATTCAATGGCCAAACAAATTTTGTTGTTTAATGATGTTAATCTTTATTATTCGGGAAAGTCATTATAAATATAAAAAGTTATGACAATAACAAGTGCTTTGATAGTTAAATTTAAGATTTTTCAAAAAGTGGAGTTAATAAATTTGTGCAGTGAACGGCTCAATTAATTATGGTAAATCAACTTCGTTTACTAAAGCATTACTTCAGTAATAGGGATTTGATAAGAAGTCTCTGTAAACTTAGTGATAAAAAAACAAATATTCTGCCAATAGCACGCGATGGAAAAAGAATGCATAGTTTTTTCCTAAATTTCATTCTTTAATTTTAACAATATTGGCCTTTCGCCAGCCACTTATGCTGACTTTTATCCATCTAAAAAGACAAGCATATATCCAAATTTATTCTTGTTCAACCCTCCTGATTAATTGTAATCAAATCAACTTCATTTATTAAAGCTTACTTCGGTAATAGAAATCTGATAAGAAATTTCTGTAAACCTAGTGTTAAATTTTGTTAATAAATTTTTTAATATTGTTAATAAATTTTGTTAATAAAGTTAATAAATTAGTAATAAAAAGTTAAGTAATGTTAATATTACAATTAAGAATGAAAGTTTTGAAATCGTATTCCTTTAACTCGATCTATGTAAGAAAAAGATTGTATACTATTGGAAAATGCAAAAGAGGCATTTTTGATCATTCGCAAGAGTGAAAGATTTTTGAAACCAGCGTTGAAATCGTTTAATCGTTCATCTAATCTTGCGAATGGATTTACCCAGAGAGGAAGCGTATTCCATCGCCCACTGCAAACTCTTTCCATCCTTTCATCTTCTACTACCTCGTTTATCTTTTCATCTACTATCCGCAACTGTCGCATCTCTTTCTGGCGACCTTTGATGTATTTACCGCGAGTGAATTGTCCAAGAAGGGGAAACACTGAACACATTCCTTGATACAGTTCGAGAAAGGAATTTCATTTTAAAAAAATTAAGTAAAGAGTAAGAAAGCATGGTGTACAAATGACGCATAAGCACAGCACAGCAAAGAAATAGAAATACGTCAACGTAAAGTATAAAACATCTGTCGTTATATTGGTTATTGGGGTTAGAAAATAATCATCACTCAGTTATTCCCTTTTATAAGACACTCTTTATTTTGACCAGAGAGTTAAGAGCTGCGATGTTGCTTTTAAGAAAACTACGATCAAATTGATTATTTATTTCGACGTCAGTGGAAAAATGCAACGAAAACTATCGGTGCCTCCTTGTCTCAGAAAAAGGTCTGCTTTCTCTTCCAGGTCATAAACTAACTTCAAGAGATCTTTCCCAGTGTTGGTTTATTTTTTACTGTCGGGGTCTTACAAGGGACGGCTCAGAAGTGATATTCGCCGATTCCAATGAAATTTGCTAGAGCGATAGATCTATATCTAGAATAAGCGTAACTGTAATATTAGCCGCAGA